CAAGATGCATCCGATTAGGTCGCCATAACAGCACGACCAAGTCGCGAAAACGAAGTCAGCCCACTTGTGCACATCGAAAGGATACTGCAACCATACCAAATGCCACGCAATCTGGATTTTAATATCTTCGATTAATGGAGCAGATTCGTAAATTGGCCTCACAAGAAGCCAAAGCGGAGAATTGCCAGAGAAGTATGATTAGATTTGTGTAAACAAGACCTCGGCGCAATGTCCCTCGACCTCGATAAATCAATGGTGGAATTAAATGTATTCTGACGTGACAGAAATCGTCAGATCATATAGCCAAACATCAAGGCACTACGACACTCACCATTTTAAAGGAAAGGAAAGGTACATGTATTGAAAGTTATTCTGAATCCAGTTTCTCATAACTATCAAGAATTTCGTTCAGTGGAAGATCTAAAACAAGTCAAGTTAAGATGCAAAAGCATGCGTTGAGCATTCCCCAAGATCAAATATTCTTAAGTAAAGTAGCTATGGTAAGAAAGTATCCCTAGGTACAGCAGACTGATTAGACTTTATCTTGCCATAGGGACTAGGATACACATTTAGCCTTTATCACCAACAGTTTGTATAAACGAAAAAACAAAAATGTTTGGATGACAAGGATGAATTGAAATATACGAAACGATTCACATCTGAGGTGAATAAGTCATGAAAAATGACAAGTAAAATATCACTCAATAGGTTCGAGAATAATGACAAACAGAACATCAATAAAAATGTAAATGAAAAATGAGCCCTTAAAAATGTCGATAAATCTGATGAGCATGATTAATTGCCAGACAAACATCGATCAGTTGCTGAAGCAAGATTATCATTGACTTCGTCCAGCACACGATTGAGGAAAGATTGACCCCGTGAAGCTTCGAATCCCATATCACGAAGAGATTGAAGGTTGTTAATTCGAAGTAGAGGAGTAGGGCTGACTGAAGGCGGTGGTGAAGAAAGGCCAAGCCCCTGGATCGTTATATCATCAACAAGATTGACAGCTTGACGAGCACTTTCAAAGACCGGCAGATTACCTGCGATAAGGTTTATTTCAAACGGTCGTTGAGTGGAATCCATACGAGGATGGTCATCCAGATTAGAATCAGGAAGTGATGTGGAGGAACGGGTATTCGTGTCTATGGAATTATGCTGGTCATTTTGCTGATTCGAGGGAGATGCATCGCATAAGGTATCAGGAGTAAGAGATTCTAGTAACGGCTCCGAGATATGCATATCAGATAGATCCCCGCTAGGAACAGGAGGTTCTTGGATCGTCATATCCAGATCAGCTTGAGGAACCCGAGCTGATTCTGAGTGTCCATCACCATTAGCTTCAACAACGTCCCAATCTGGAGTGGGAACATTATTATCATCACTGAACATCGAAGATCCATCCGAATCATGTACTGTTATAGAAGATTTATTACTGACTTCTTTAAACAGAGACATTTTAGCAGATATCAAATCATCTGACGAGGTTGATGCATCTTTAAGGGAATATGTGACTGATCCTATAGACTCTGGAGCTGAGGGCTTGCTTGAACCCGAGGAAATATAAATAGATTTTTTCACCCAGGACGATGTACGCAAGGCCAACATATCATGAGCTTTATGAATACCCATGGAAATATAAGCGAGGCATAGATCGAAATTTTTGCTATCCAAGAGCTTAGAGCGAT